AGTCCATCCAAATCCTAAAGGAGAACACAGGCAGCAACCTCTTCGACCTCAGCCAGAGCAACTTCTTCCTAGAAACATCGCCAAAGGCAAGGGAAGCAAGGGCAAAAATGAACTATTGGGACTTCATCAAGATAAAAAGCTTTTGCACAGCAGAAGAAACAGTCAACAGAACCAAAAGACAATAGACAGAATGGGAGAAGATATTTGCAAATGACATATGGGATAAAAGGCTAGTATCCAAAATCTATAAAGAACTTATCAAACTCAACACCCAAAGAACAAAGAATCCAATCAAGAAATGGGCAGAAGACATGAACAGACATTTTTCCAAAGAAATCCAGATGGCGAACAGACACATGAAAAAGTGCTCACCATCGCTCGGCATGAGGGAAATCCAAACCAAAACCTCAATGAGATACCACCTCACACCAGTCAGAATGGCTAAAATTAACAAGTCAGGAAACGACAGATGTTGGCGGGGATGCGGAGAAAGGGGAACCCTCCTACACTGTTGGTGGGAATGCAAGCTGGTGCAGCCACTCTGGAAAACAGTATGGAGGTTCCTCAAAAAGTTGAAAATAGAGCTACCATACGATCCAGTAATTGCACTACTGGATATTTACCCCAAAGATACAAATGTAGGGATCCGAAGGGGTACGTGCACTCCTATGTTCATAGCAGCAATGTCCACAATAGCCAAACTGTGGAAAGAGTGAAGAAGTCCATCGACAGATGAATGGATAAAGAAGATGTGGTATATATATACAATGGAATATTATGCAGCCATCAGAAGGAATGAGATCTTGCCATTTGCAACGACGTGGATGGAACTGGAGGGTATTATGCCGAGCGAAATAAGTCAATCAGAGAAAGACATGTATCATATGACCTCACTGATACGAGGAATTCTTAATCTCAGGAAACAAACTGAGAGTTGCTGGAGTGGGGGGTGGAATGGGAGGGATGGCGTGAGTGGGTGGTGGACACTGGGGAGGGTATGTGCTCTGGTAAGCGCTGTGAATTGTGCAAGACTGATGAATCTCAGATCTGTACCTCTGAAACAAATAATGCAATATATGTTAAGAAAAAGAAAAAGAGGGTAGCAGGAGGGGAAGGATGAAGTGGGGGGAATCGGGGGGACGAACCATGAGAGACGATGCACTCTGAAAAACAAACTGAGGGTTCTATAGGGGAAGGGGGTGGGAGAATGGGTTAACCTGGTTTTGGGTATTAGGGAGGGCATGTTCTGCATGGAGAACTGGGTGTTATGCACAAACAATGAATCATGGAATACTACATCTAAAACTAATGATGTATGGTGATTAACATAACAATAAAATTTTTTTAAAAAAACGAACTCCATTAAATGTACCAATTAATTTGGGAATGCTTGGCAACTTTATAATATTCAAGATCCCTTTTCCAGAACATCGGATATTTGACAGACTTATCAGTGTTTAATTAAATTTCATATAATCAAGAATGAATAACAATTTTTTAAGATCTTTAAAATAACCCAGGGTATATTTTACAATCTCCACCACTTTTCTTCCCACTTAATTAAGCACCAGTATAAAAATTTAAGTACCTCAAGAACCGGTATAGAAGGTACATTTTAAAAAGATTTTCAGTGTAACCATTTGGTGATATTAAATTATTATTTTATTAGTTTGCAAACAATATTTTGGTTACATTGTTTAATAAGAGCCCTAATCTTTTAGACAGATACACTGAAATGTGATACCTGGGATTTGCTTCAAAGTTATATAGTATAGAGAGTATATAGGAATATGAAACAAGATTTGCCGTGAGTAGCTAGTTGTTAGAGCTGATAGTTATTGGGTTCATTATGTTATTTTCTCTCCCTTTATAAATGTTTGGAATTATTCATAATGAAAGTTAAAAATAAAGACAAATCGAGAACATGAAAGAAAAACATCATGGAAGTAGAGCTAACTAGTTACAGGATAAAAATATTTCTCAAGATTATTGATTCTGTTGTTCTCTACCCACTGAAAGGTACACATTGGACCCCAAACAAAATTATGAAATAGGCTTTGTTTGTATTCTTTATTTCCTGGGTCTCCTTTCTTCATTTTAGCCCAGTATGGGTTTTCCTTCTACTTGTTTTAAGTGCATATTTTTCTCCTGTTCACATCTTTCAGAATTGTCACTCATTTACACAGACTGAATAGGAGGCCTAGAGATGAACCTGTCCAGATTAAAGTACAAGAGAAGAATGCTTTGGGAGGGAGTTCAGGAGTAGTAGTCAGGGAATAGGTCTGATAGAGTGTTGGAAAAATTCTTGAGGATTTGGAAAAATTACAGAAATGTGAAAAGTTTGTTAGAACATTTGGGGGAAAAATGTGTAGGATTCCCATATGTGACTTTATTAAAAATTGCCAGTCTGGAGATAGAGGAAGGTAAAAGCTTAATCCTCTAGTATTCTAACAGAAAATAAAGAAATACTATCTAAAATGGGTAAAAGAAAAAGAAGCAATATTAGCGTATTATTCAGAAATACAGATGTGATTAAATGAAACTATAACAAATTCAAAGTAGTTACTTCTGCAGAGTAATGTAAGTTGGGAGGGAGGAGGACAGTATGGAACAGAGAACTGCCGTATTTCGTTATAAGCCAGTTAGTACAGTCTGGCTTTTAACGTCTATATTTTAATAAAAATTTAAAAATAGTAAAAACTGCGAATTTAGTAGACTTATTCCAAAGAAACATCAAGAGGAGATAAAACTAAAAAAATTAATCTGAATAATATTAATATTATGATATTGAATGTAGTAGGAGTCTAGCTTCACTTTTTTTTTTTTTTTTAAGATTTTATTTATTTATTTGACAGAGAGAGACACAGCAAGAGAGGGAACACAAGCAGGGGGAGAGGGAGAGGGAGAAGCAGGCTTCCCACTGAGCAGGGAGCCCGATGCAGGGCTCGATCCCAGGACCCTGAGATCATGACCTGAGCCGAAGGCAGACGCTTAACAACTGAGCCACCCAGGTGCCCCCTAGCTTCACTCTTTTGCATATTCATATTCTGTTGTCCCAGTACCATTTGTTGAAAAGACTGTTCTTTCCTCTGTTGAATTGTCTTGCGACCCTTGTTGAAAGTCAGTTGACCTTAAATAGATATATAGGTTTTATTTTTGGACTGTAAGTTGTTTTTTGTTTTTTGGGTTTTTTTTTTTTTTTTTCAGATTTATTTGTTTTATTAAAGAGAGTGGGGGGAGGGGCAGAGGGAGAGAATCTTCAAGCCAACTCCCTGCTGAGTGTGGAGCCTGATACAGGGCTTGGTCCCATGACCATAAGCTCATGACTTGAGCTGAAAGCAAGAGTCCAGTGTTTAACAGACTGAGCCACTCACGTGCCCCTGGACTCTTAAGTTTTATGTCTCTCTGTATGCTAGTACCACACAGTCCTGATTATTGTAGCTTTTTAGTCAGTTTTGAAATTAAGTATGGGTCCTCTTTGAAGATTGTTTGCCTATTCTGGGTCCACTGCATTTTCCATATGAATTTTGAAATCAGTTTCCCAATTTCTGCAAAAAAGGGGGAGAGGACATTAGAGATTTTGACAGGGATTGCATTAAATCTGTAGATCAGTTTGGGGAGTGTTGCCATCTTAATAGCAGGAAGTCTTCCGATCCATGAATATAGGATATCTTTCTATTTATTTTAGCCTTCTTTAATTCTTTCAGTGATGTTTTATAGTTTCAGTGTATAAATCTTACACTTCTTTTGTTGCATTTATTCCTAATTTATTGTTTTTGATGCTGTTGTAAAAAATGTTTTCATAATTTCATTTTCAGATTATTCATTGCTAGTATTTAGAAATGTTTGATTTTTGTATTTTCAACTTGAATCCTGCAACCTTTTTGAACTCATTCTAGTAATTTTTGTGTGTGTATTCCTTAGCATTTTCTATGTACAAGGTTATGTCATCTGCAGAATGAGATAGTTTTACTTACTGCTTTCCAATGCCATTTATTTCTTGCCTAACTCCCTTGGCTAGAATCTCCACTATAATGTTGAGTAGAAGTGGCAAGAGCGGACATCCTTGCCTTGTTCCTGATCTTATGGAAAGGTATCCAGTCTTTTACCCTTACATATGATATTAGTTATAGATTCTTCATAGATACCTTTCACTGAGTTCAGGAAATTTCCCTTCTATTCCTAGTTTGTTGAATGTTTTTATCATGAAAAGGGTTTGGATTTTGTCCAATGCTTTTTCTGTGCCCATTGAGATACCATGTAGTTGTTTTGTTTTTTTTGTTCTATTAATACAGTGTATTACACAGATCGATTTTCATTTCTTGATGAACTATTTTTGCATTCCTGAGATAATGTGTACTTGGTCATTGTGTACAATCCTTTTCATATATGGCTGGATTCAGTTTGCCAGTATTTCATTAAAGATTTTTGCATCTGTATTTATAAAGGATATTGGCTATAATTTTCTTATGATACCTTCTTGTGGATTTAGTATCAGGATCTCATAGAATAATTGGGAAGTATTCTCTCCTCTATTTTTTTTTTTTTTAAGAGTTTGTGAAGTACTGGTTTTAATTCCTCTTTAAAGTTTGATAGAATTTACCAATGAAAGCATCTGGTTATGGGCTTGTGGGAAGTTTGTTGATTACTAATTCATCTCTTTACTTTTTTATAGGTCTATAAAAATTTTGTATTTTTTGAGTAATGTTTTAAATTTTAAAAATATAAAGCAAGTGTAAAGTGGTAAGTATGTATAAGGTAGTCTGGTAAAGCCCAAATTGTGTATAAAAATGTGTCCTCCTACTTCACGGGAATTCAGTTTGAAACTTACCATTTAACAATTCATTTTTTTAAAACATGACTTTTCGAAAGAGTGTTGTTAATGTCTTTTTATTTGAATTATTTTAAATACATCAAATATTTTGTATTTCATAATGGCTTGAAATTTAAGGGTTTGGTTTTTTTTGTTTGTTTGTTTGTTTTTATTGCTTTTATCTCAGCAGCAATGCAGCAAGTGTTGGATAACCTTACGGAGCTGCCCTCATCTACAGGAGCAGAAGAAATAGACCTAATTTTCCTCAAGGGGATTATGGAGAATCCTATTGTAAAATCACTTGCTAAGGTATAGTGGTTTATTCATAAGCTTACTAAATTATTTTTAAATTGTCTTTACAGAGGTCTTTTCAGATATTGCTGTTTTCAGAACTTAATACGCCTTTGGTGTAGTTAGCAAATAATAATACTTATCACATAATGAAATCTTCATGCACACGAAAATTAGACTACTTTTGCCTTTCCTGCGCTGACTTTAAATACAAGATAAAACAACTCTTAGTTTTAGCCTAACACATTTAAAGTTTTAGGGAAATTTTAACTGAATAGTCATATTATAATAGGACTTATGAAAAGGATCCTGGTACTATCTCCATTTCAGCAACAGCAAAATACTGATGTTCTTCTTTTATATTAGACTGTGTGCCTGTTTTTCATTTTGGTTCTTGACTTCCTCTGTCTAGTACTTTTTGAAATCTTGTTTTCTCTCGGATAACCTTGATATTTCAAGTCTGTTTCTGTAATCAGCTCCCTAGTAGTCTCCTTAACTCGTCTGTAAATATACTTTTACAACTATTCTTAGTCCAGTTTTATTTCACTTACACTATTTCCTGTATTAATTTTTAGAAACATCACTAAAGCCCGGTGTGTTAACTACTTCACAACCGTTCTTCAGCATTCCTTCAAATGATTCTTGCTTTCAGAAACCTGTGCCACATGCCCTCTCTGGCCTTTCCTTCATGGAGTCATCTTGTCTTTCCATTTGCTTTTTGTACTCCCAGTATGTTGATTTCACCCTCTCCCATAATCATTTTTTAACCACAGTCCATTAATTTTTTTTCTTCTCCCTTGTGAAAAATCATACCTTTTACAGACTTTTTCATTTGTAAAAGTGAGCCAGTAATGCAGATTCTTCATTTTATTCACAAACTTAATCATTCTAAGATCACATGATATAAAACCTTTGGCTCCTAAGTAAAAACTAATCTAGTTGTATATCACCCAACTGGAATTTTTATTTTAGTCATTTTTTTTTTAAGATTTATTAGAGAGAGAGGGTGAGTGTGAGCCGTGGGAAGGGGGAGCAGAAGGAGAGGGAGAGAGAATCCTCAGGCAGAGTCCCCTCTGAGCAAAGAGCCTAATGAGGGGCTCCATCCAGGACTCCGAGATCATGACCTGAGCTGAAACCAGGAGTTAGCTGCTTGACCGACTGAGCCACCCAGGTGCCCCAATTTTAGTCATTTTTGATTGCAGTTTTTCCAAAGTTTATCAGATAGTCCTTTATCTTAATAGTAATATTATAGGATATGAATTTACTTTCAAGTTCAAGCTCTTGTCACAAATACCAATTACCATACTCTGTCAAGATAGAGTAATAGTTTCAGGGTCTATTGAAATATGTAGGGGCTATTTAAGCCTGTATTAACTAGCTAACCATTAGCTCTAATTGGTACTTTTTAAAATAGTTTTTGACTCTTCCTTTGATATGATAATGTTGGTAGTCAGTTTTTATCATTAGTATCTATTACACCCATGTCCCCATATTTATTTATCATTGATCTGTAGATTTAGAAACTAGATAATAAGGCATCTTACAGTGTGTTTATAATTCACAGAGGTCTTTAAAATATATTGTTTTGTCTTCACAACAATTTATTGAATTGAAAATCAAAGTAGAAGAATTATTTGTCTAAGGTCACTGTCCTAGTAAATTGACAGAGATGAGGTTTAGACCAGGTTTTCTTTCTTCAGATTCTGTGCTCTTCCTACTATAGCAAAGGTTTTGTGTGTATGTATATTCCTAAAAATTTCTGTGGGTAAAAAATTACTGTTATTCTGGCTTTTGTGCCATTGATATTGGCCTTATTGAGGATTATCTTGTTCATTATTCTCAACAGGTGAAATGGCTGGATGACTTTTAAGCAGCTCAGGTGCTAGTGTAATCTTCTGATGATAAAAATGAAATTAGGGGGCACCTGGGTGGCAAAGTCAGTTAAGTGTCTGACTTGGTTTTGACTCAGGTCATGATCTCAGTGTTGTGAGATTGAGCCCCATGTAGGGCTCAGCATGAAGTCTTCTTGGGATTTCCTCTCCTTCTCCCTCTGCCCCTCCCACGCATGCTCGTGCACTCTCTCTCTCTCTCTCTCAAATAAAATAATCTTTTTTAAAAATGAAATTAAGAACAGAATCAACCAATAGTATCCACCATTCAAAAGCAGCTTCTCAATAAATAGAATCAATGATAGCTTAGTATTCTAACAGTGAAAGAAAAGAAATCCCAAGAGGAAAGGAAGACTTCTACTTCCAAGAAAGAGATATTGAGTCACAGCAGGCCGACACTCCCAGTACAACAAGTAGAGAAAAATGGTTAAGTTACTGAGGAAACAGAGGCATATGTTGCTAGACACAGGGAGAGACAGGAACATGTGACTAATAATCATGAGAAAAATAACAGAAGCAGTTCTATAGATGATCCTTTATTATTAGAGTTTATAAACAAATATTTTAAAATGTATTAAAATATTTTAAAAGAAGAGAAAATGAAGACATTTAAAATATTACTAGAAAATAGAATCAAAATTAGAATCAAAATCAATCAAGTGGTCATTTGTTCTGTCTTTTAGATTCCACATATAAGTGAAATCGTGTGGCATTTGTCTTTGTCTGACTTACTTTACTTAGCATAATACCCCTTAGGCCCATCCATATTTTGCAAATGGCAAGATCTCATTCTTTTTTTATGGACGAATAATATTCCATTGTGTATGTGTATGTATATATCTATGTGTATAAATACACATGTACCACATCATCTTTTTTTAAAGATTTTATTTATTTAGAGAGAAAGAGAGCGTGTGTGCATGAGCAGGGACAGAGTGGGGGTGGGGGAGCAGAAGGGGAGGGAGAGGGAGAGAATCTTAAGCCAACTCTGCACTGCGCCAGGGCAGGGCTCCGTCCCACAACCCTGAGATCATGACCTGAGCCAAAACCAAGAGTCAGGCACTTAACCAACTTAGCCACCCAGGTGCCCCCCATCATCTTTTTAAAACATTTTTCTTTTGAAATATAGTTGACACACAATGTTACATTAGTTTCCGGTGTACAACACAGTGATTGGACAGATGTCTACATTATGCTGTGCTCACCACTAGTGCAGCTACCATCTGTCACCATATAACACTATTTCAGTACTGTTGGCTCTTTTCCCATGCTGCACCTTTTGTCCACATGACTTATTCCATAATTGGAAGTCTGTATCTCCCTCTCCCCTTCAACTGTTTTGCCCATCCTTCCACCTACTTCTCCTCTGGCAATCATCAGTTTGTTCTCTGTATTTATGGGTCTGTTTCTGTTTTTTGTTTATTTTGTTTTTCAGATTCTACATGGAGGTGAAATCATACAGTATTTGTCTTTGTCTGACTTATTTCACTTAGCGTAATACCCTCTAGGTGCATCCATATTTTGCAAATGGCAAGATCTCATTCTTTTTTTATGGCTGAGTGATATTCCGTTGTATATATACCACATCTTCTTTATTGATTAATCTATCAGTGACGTTTGGGCTGCCTCCATATCTTGGCTATTGTAAATAATGCTGGAATAAACATAGGGGTGCATATATCTTTTTGAATTAGCACATTTGTTTTCTTTAGGTAAATACCCAGTAGTGGAATTGCTAGATTATGTGGTATTTCTGTTAATTTTGTGAGGGACCTCCATACTGTTTTCCACAGTGGCTGCATCCCATTTGCATTCCCACCAGCAGTGTACAAGGATTCCTTTTTCTTCACATCCTTGCCAACACTTATTTCTTGTCTTTTGCTTCTAGTCATTTTGATAGGTGTAAGGTGATATCTCATTGTGGTTTTGATTTGCATTTTCTTGATGATTAGTGAGGTTGAGCATCTTTTCATATGTCTATTGGCCATCTGTGTGTCATCTTTGGAAAAATGTCTATTAAAGTCCTGCCCTTTTTTAAATCAGGTTATTTGGGGTTTTTTTGGTGTTGAGTTATAAGAGTTCTTTATATATTTTCCATATTAATCCCTATAGGATATATCATTTGCAGATATCTTCTCCCACTCAGCAGGTTTCCTTGTCATTTTGTTGATGGTTTCAACAAAGGAACTGCAATAGTTTTTACTTTGGTGTAGTCCCAATATACCACATCGTCTTTATTCATTCATCTGTCAATGGACACTTGAGTTGCTTCCATATCTTGGCTTGTTTAAGTAGTACTGCAAACAAACAGATTCTTAAATATAGAGAACAAACTGCTGATTGCTGGAGGGGCAGTGGGTAAGGGATGTGTGAAATGGATAAGGGAGATTAAGAGGTACAAATTTCAGTTGTAAAAAAAAAATAGTCTTGGAGATTAAAAGCTTAGGGAATATAGTCAGTGATATTGAAATAATGTATAATGACAGGTGGTGACTGTACTTATCATGGTGAGCACTGAGTAATGTGTAGATTTGTTAAATCAATGTATGCCTGTAATTAATGTAACACTATGTTAGTTATATTTTAAAAAACAATGAAATGGATATTCAAGGACTCAAAAATATATCTGAATTAAAAGCTCATTTGATGGGGTTAATAGATTAAACATTGCAGAGAAGGGGATCCATGAATTTGAAACAGTCCAGTAGTAAGTATCCAAACTGAAAATCAGAACAAGAATGGAACATAAAGGAGAGAGAATAGGAGGAATACTCAAAAAGTTTGATATACATGTAATTGGTATCCCAGAAAGAGAAAAGGGGGAAATGGGACAGAAGAAATAGTTGAAGAGACATAGCCAAAAATTTTCAAAACTGATGAACAGCATCAACTGATGATCCAAGAAGCAAAGTGAACCCTCCTGCAAGAGAAATATAAAGAAAAACATTATTTGGAACAACACAGTCAAATTCCTGAAAATCCAAGACAGAGTGAATATTTGTAAATTAGAGAAGAATACTTTTAAAGAGAAACAATAAGACTAATGGTTAGCAATAAAACAGGAACTATATATGTCAAAACAGAGTGCACTGAGATCATTATAAAGTTTTGAAAGAAAAACGCTGCCAA